TGTTTTCTGAGGTTCTCGCGGGTATTTATATGTAGATCTTTGGTTGTTCGGGTTTTCTCCCGCGTAAGATTTGAAGTATCTAGGCAACGTTTCGATGAAGTCTCATTCATCATCTTCAGGCTTCTGTCTCCAGCTCTGTGCTTCTCAGAGTAATGGAGATTGCAGCTGCTTCCTCCTTTTAACTGCCAGTGGGGGTGGAACTTGATTGGGTGGGGGCTTGGCTGTGTTCTGATTGGGTGGGGGTGTGTTCTCATTGGTAGGGGGTTTGGCTGTGTTCTGATTGGTTGGGGGGTTAGCCGTGTTCTGATTGGTTGGAGGCGTGTTCTGTTCAGGAGGGGGCTTGGTTGTGCTCAGTTTAGTTTTAGTTGCTGGGGGATTTGAGCTGGAGAGTTGTGATCTTGCTGTTTGGCTTCTAGTTCGTGGTCCTGCTGCATCTTCATAGTGGGTGTTGGTTTGCTTCATGTATGGCTCAGAGGGGTTTGAAGTGGGTAGTGATGCAGCTGCAGTGCAGCTTCTGGTCCATGGTCGTTTCTCATTTTCTGAATGGGTGGGAGTCTGTTTTCTACATGGAAGTGTGGTGGTGGCATCTTGTGTGGCTCTCATGGGTGTGGGTCCAGTGTCCTTCTTCATGTTAGGTACTCGTCTGTTCATGAGGGCGGGTTTCCAAATGGCTGGAAGGCGGGAGGTGTCATCTCGTTTGTTCATGCTGTGTGGGCGTTTTTCTATCTCTATGGCTTCTCTGATTATTCTGCTGTTGAAGTGTTCGGTTTTGGCGATAGTTCTGGTATTTTTAAAATCAATTTCATGTCCTGTGGCTTTGAGGTGTTGGACCAGGGAAGAGGTCGTTTCTTCTTTTTTGATTGAGTTCTTATGTTCTTCAATGCGTGCATTTATTCTTCTGTTAGTTTGTCCAATGTATGTGGTAGGGCAGGCAGTGCAGGGGATTTCGTATACTCCTTGGTTTTCTAATTCGATTTTGTCTTTGGGGTTTCTTAGGATGGTGGATATTTTTCTGTTTGTGCAGAATGCTGTTTTGATGTTGTGTTTTTGGAGGATCTTGCTGATTTTGTCTGTAGTGCCTTTTATATATGGGAGGAGGGCTTTGCCGTTTTCTTGTTCTCTGTCTTGGATTTTGGTTGGGGTTTCTTTTTGGATTAGAGTAGAGATACTCTAATCCATCTATCTATCTCCATAGAGATAGAAAAACGCCCACACAGCATGAACAAACGAGATGACACTTCCCGCCTTCCAGCCATTTGGAAACCCGCCCTCATGAACAGACGAGTACCTAACATGAAGAAGGACACCAGACCCACACCCATGAGAGCCACACAAGATGCCACCACCACACTTCCATGTAGAAAACAGACTCTCACCCACTCAGAAGATGAGACACGACCATGGACCAGAAGCTGCACTACAGCTGCATCACTACCCACTTCAAACCCCTCCGAGCCATACATGAAGCAAACCGACACCCACTATGAAGATGCAACAGGACCACGAACTAGAAGCCAAACAGCAAGATCACAACTCACCAGCTCAAATCCCCCAGCAACTAAGACTAACCGGAGCACAGCCAAGCCCCCACCTGAACAGAACACGCCTGCAACCAATCAGAACACGGCTAACCCCCCAACCAATCAGAACACAACCAAACCCCCTACCAATGAGAACACACCCCCACCCAATCAGAACACAGCCAAGCCCCCACCCAATCAAGTCCCACCCCCACTGGCAGTTAAAAGGAGGAAGCAGCTGCAATCTCACATTACTCTGAAAAGCACAGAGCCGGAGACAGAAGCCTGAAGATGATGAATGAGACTTCATCGAAACGTTGCCTAGATACTTCGAATCTTACGCGGGAGAAAACCCGAACAACCAAAGATCCACATATAAATACCCGCGAGAACCTCAGAAAACAAATATTGCACCTCTACGGGGAGGAAACCCACCATCTGACCAGGACTTATGAAAAACTTGAAGTCCAAAGAGCCTCCATTTTATGTGACCTTGCATTCCTATGCAACTGCCGAGATCAAAATTTAATTCCCACAAGCTTCCAATTGAAATTCCACACCAACACAGCAGCCACCAAACGCATCCTTAAAAGAACAGAACTGGCCCTAATTAGAAATGAACTTCACACGAAAAGGTTTCTCCTAGACCAAATCAACAAAGATCTCCTCACACTCCACCTCAGACTCAGCAACAAGATTCACCCTCTACTTTGGGACAAATCCAAACAACTTGCTGTCTGGAGAGCCGAAACACAGACCACCCTCAAGACAGATACTCACACCAACAAACTCAGGAAACTACAACAATGCCAGAAACCAACTCCCCCTCCCCCACAGCCACACATGAAACAAACATTGCACAACATCTCAGACAAGATCCTCACTGAAGCTGAAACCAAGGTCCTTTCAAAAGGATTCAACTTTGCTGTCGCTCCCAAACACATCCCCACAGAAACCATCATATGCGGAGTTGAAACCAGCCTGACCAAAACCAACCCTGATGATGCTAACAAAATCAGACTTGAAATCACCAACATCCTCTGCACTAGCAAACCACCCAAAAGCAACTTATCCAAAGAAGAACAAACTGCACTACTTAACCTGAAAGAAGACACCAGCATAATAATCCTACCAGCAGACAAGGGCAATGCGACAGTGGTTATGAACACATCTGACTACCAAACCAAGCTAACCAACCTACTCCAAGACCCCACATACAAACCCCTAAAGACAGACCCCACTACCTACCTAGAAAAAACTACCAAATCCAAAATAAAAGCCTCCCCCATCAGTGAAGAAATCCAGCAACGAATCATACCCAGAGAAAAATCATCCAGATGCCCCAAGCTTTATGGTCTCCCCAAAATACACAAAGAAGGAACCCCACTCAGACCAATAGTCAGCTCCATAGGCTCACCTCTACAAAACCTAGCCAAATTTCTCGCCAAACAACTACAACCTTATGCAGAATCCATCAACTCACACGTAAGAAACTCATTCCAGTTCATCGAGATCATAAAGAAACAAAACTTACAACCCAGCGACCTACTAGTAAGCTTCGATGTCATATCCCTCTTCACCCAAGTGCCAATAAAAGAAGCCTTGACAGCCATCCAAAACAAATACAACCCCCCCAAGCACATCCTAGATCTAACCAACCACTGCCTATCCAATACATACTTCACCTACAATGGACAAAAATACAAACAAATAGAAGGAGCACCCATGGGATCACCCCTCTCACCTGTCATCGCTAACCTCTACATGGAACACTTTGAAACACAAGCTCTAGAAAAATACGACCACAAACCCAAACTCTGGCTCAGATACGTAGATGACACCTTCATAATCTGGCCACATGGGAAAGAAAAACTGAACAACTTCCTCACACACCTCAACAGCCTACACCCCAAAATACAATTCACCATGGAAACAGAAGCCAACAACCAACTTCCCTTCCTAGATGTCTTGGTATACAAAAGATCCAATGGCTCCCTAGGACACACCATCTACCAGAAGAAAACACACACTAACCGCTATCTACATGCACTCTCACACCACCACCCAGCACAGATCAATTCCGTAGCCAAGACACTCATCTCCAGAACAAAATGCTTAGCCGATGAACAACACCAAAAAACCGAACTACACACTCTCACCAACGTACTTGCAGCCAATGGATTCCAAAGAAAGAAGATTACCCACCTAATCCAAAAAGAAACCCCAACCAAAATCCAAGACAGAGAACAAGA